TTGATATATTGCAAACAACTTTGCAGTGTATGACGAAGTAATGGGATTGAGTTTAAATTTTAAGGATGTATTAGGTGTGGGGACGGCTGCAGTGTGTATATATTATAGTGATTTTTATGTTCCCATTTTTATTAAGAATGATTGTTTGATCAGGTCTGTTATAGTCTCATTTTTTTATATATTAAGGTTAGTATTAATCTTGAGAATTGGTATTAACCAAGGTGGCGCAATTAGGAAATTTGTAGGGAGAATTTCAGGATATTCAAGATGTAGGTCATGAAGGTTTCTTCTAACTCTTTCGTAAAATCGTGGATCTAGTCTTGTTGTAGAGAAAGTGTCTTGAAATTGATCTGTGGACGTATTGGTATAAGTAGGGTGTTCTTTATTACTAGCTATTTTAGAAGCATATGAGAGAGAAAGGTATTTGCATCGTAAACTTATGGGTGGTTCTCCTGTTAAGCATGGTAAACTTTGAACTAATCGTTTGAAACGCACCTGAAGCTATTCGTAGAGCTGTGTTTTCAACAGTTTCTAAGGTTTTTAATACTGATACTTTGCTTGATGAATAAACTATCGGACCATAGTCGAGTTTGGATCTAACTAAAGATTTATATACATGTACTATTTTATTTTGATCTACTTCCCAGTTTTTGCTGGCAATAGTTTTTATTGGGATAATATTTCCAGGAGAGTTTTTGGAGTGTGAATAAAATAAATTTAGTTTTTGTAGGTGAAAATTGTAATCCGATAGTCATAGACCATGATTCTAATCGATTGATTGTCTGTTGTAAATGTTTTTGAATAGATGTAGAGTTTTTCCTTTGGCAAGTATAACTAAATCATCAGCGTATAATCTTACTTTAACAATCGGTGAGCATTGTTGAAGTATGTCGTTTATGGCTCTTAGAACAAGGGTTGAGCTTATAACTGATCCTTGTGGCACTCCGTTCTCTTGAACTTTTTTATTTGAGTTAACTATGTCTGATCGAACTATGAAGCTGCGAGATTGAAAAAAATTTGAAATAAATATTAACATATTGCCTCTGATATTATACAATTATGCAATTTTGATATGATATTGAATCGCCAGACAGTATACTAAGCTTTATTAATATCAAAAAAGATTGCGATACAACCTTGCCTATTTGCAAATGCTTAATGTATAGGTTATCATTTATAGTGGATCGATTTTGCCTAAATCCGCTTTGTTGTGGAATAAGAAGTTTTTGTTGTTCTAAATACCATCTCAGCCTTTTATTTACTATTGTCTCGAACACTTTACATATAATATTGGTTAAAGATATTGGTCGATATGACCAGGTGATGTCCTCACTGCATTGTTATTTTTTGTTAATATTTATTTAAAAACAACAGATTAATGGTATTTATAACGATTTCAAAGCTCTTGATTTATAAATGAAGTTCGAATCGTCAAACTGATAGACTGACAGATGGTGGTTATAGTTCTGATATGGAACGCGCTCTGAGGCGCACCGTCAGCTTATTTTTATTATCTCAGTAAACAATTAACATAGAATCGTTTAACAAAGCTTAAAATGTTCATTTTGAGTCGTTATATAAAATCCTTTAAATTTCGATTGCAGAAGTGGAAATTGAAACGTCAATAAAATTACTTTAACCTTTAATTGTGGCTTATTTCTCATTTAAATAGTAATTATTTTAGCGTAGTATTTAAAAATATATACCGGTGTAGTTTCTAAATTCTTTCGGTATTTTTTATTTTATTAATTAATGTTGTTAATTGTTCTGTCATTGCTGCTACACAATATTTTAGTAATTCGTTTGGTATCCCATCTTCACCTGCCGCTTTTCTGTTCTTCAGGTTTTCATGTATTTTCTGCACCTTCTGTGTATGTATTTATATTAAGTTGTTCATTTGTGGTAATTTCTGGTGTTTCTGGTTCTACCTCGTATATTCTTCCTCTGCAAAGAGCTTTTTTAGGTAGTCAATACACGTATCCTTTTTTATGTGTCTTGGTTCTATTAAGTCCTTTACTTCTGTTCTTTGACCTCTTATGAAGCGCTATATTTCCTTTTGCAGACCGTAAAAATCATGTTATATTTCTTTCGAAAAGCGTTCCCAGTGATCATTTTTTATTTTTCCTACAAGTGCATGTGTTTCGTTTCTAATTGTCTTGTAATTATGGTACTTACCCCTCTTTTGTTTTGGTTGACATGTATTTCAGGTAAGCTTTTTTCTTTTATTTACATTTTTTCTTCACTTCTGTACAAAACCATAGAGTTTTTAGCCTTGGGATCGATTTATTGACTGAATATAATGTATTAAATCTAACAACGCAGGAAAATTAGTCAAAAACACTCCCCTTGGTTAAAGAATATTAGAGAATGAACTAGGATACGGAGAGTAGAACAACTGTTCAGAATAGTTCAAGACTGAAAAAGCCTTGCCATGTCAATCGCCAATATCAAGTGGGTTTGATCAAGCATCTTATAGTGTATTTTTATGTATGAGAGAGTAATAAAACAATAAATTATGTATGCAAATCCCTAAACTGTTGATACGGGTGACTCAATGAAAAACAGATATTTGTCAACAAGTTTACAGAAGTATATATTAAAACAATTTTAAATTGAGTATTACCACCAGGTATAAAGGTTGGAGCAGAATAGAATACAATAGTTGTGAGGGTTACTAATCCCTAAATAAGGTTGCCAGTGTCGGAGTGATGGAGGTTAACAGGTACTAATGAATTTGCAAGAAATGGAAGATGTTTATTTTATTGGTTATATATAACCAATAAAAGTTTAATAAGTACCTACCTATTTGCAAAATAAGGTTTAATTCTTTAGATAAAATAAAACGTTTTATTTTATCTGAAATGAGTGCATTCCACGAAGTAAGGGTTTCAACAATCAAACATTTAATTCTTTAATTCCAGGAATCTACGACAGTAATTGACTAGATAATTATCTTCTAAACTTATTTTACAGAAAATGTGATAGTGGGTTTTTCCATTTTGTAGAAAGGTCCAAGTGGCGTATTCCAAATTCTTAATAGTTCACTAAAAGTAGTACTTCAGTTGCAAGGTGCAGTTTATTGTGTATACTAGTGTTATGGAAAATTTGGAAGTGCTGTGTAAACGCCGAAACATTGGTCCTTTAACAGTTAATGAAAAAACATTAATATTTAATTGTTTTAAATCATTTACTGACAAACGTTTATGTGAAAGTGTTGATGAGACCGTTGAGTTAGTTAGCAGTACACTCGGTGTTGGGAAATCTACGATTTACAGAGTTATTAAAGAAGAGAAATGTGGTAGTTTTCAAATGCCACGTAATGCTCCAGGGAAACCAAAATTTCAAATAGAATATCATTTTAAAGAAGGACTTCGACGGAAAGTGCATGAATTCTTCTTTAGACAAGAATTTCCAACATTGGATAAAGTTCTTGTCTCAGTTCGAGATGATAAGGATTACCCAGAAATGAGTCGAAGTACGTTATGGAAACTTTTAAAAGAAATAGGCTTCCGCTGGAAAAAGAATCCCAGAAAGTCATTTTATTAGAAAGAAGCGATATTGTCATATGGAGAAGACCTTTTCTAAGAACCATAAAGGAAATGAGAAACCAAGAAACAAAAATATTTTATCTTGATGAAACATGGATCAACGAGGGTCATACAATAAATAAATTTTGGCAGGATGAAACTGTTACAAGTCAAAGGCACGCTTTTGTAAATAACTTATCTACTGGTTTAAACCCACCATCAGGAAAGGGGCGCAGGCTGATAATAGTACACATTGGCAGTTCAGACGGTTTTGTTGAAGGTGGTTTTAACTTTTGAATCAACTCGTACCGGTGACTACCATGAAGACATGAACGCTGATGTCTTTCAAGAATGGTTCGAACAAATGATAGATCTTCTTTCTAAGAACTGTGTAATAGTAATGGATAATGCAAGTTATCACTCCAGACTTATAGAAGGACTGCCCACAACCAAGTGGTTAAAAAAAGACTTGCAGAATTGGCTGAGTTCAAAAAATATTACGTAACGTCCTGGATCTATAAGAAAGCTACTTTATTCGTTGTGTGCCCTACATAAAGAAAAATTTAAAAAATACGAAATTGCTGTAATTGCCAAAAATCGTGGAATGACAGTACTTAGATCCCCACCATATCATTGTAAATTAAACCCGATTGAACTGGTATGGGCACAGATAAAGAGTGAAGTTTCAAGAAAAAATACCACTTTTAAAATTCATGATGTTAAACAGTTGTTTTTGGCGGCCGTAAATAATGTAAAACCTGAAAACTGGGAAAAAGCAGTAAATCACACTATTAAAGAAGAGGAAAAAATGTGGAAGCTGGACAAGATTACTGATAAAATGATCGAGCCTGTTATTATAAATCTTGGTTATGAAAGTTCATCTTCTGAATCTGATTTGGATTTGTAACAAGTAGCTGTAAGTTTTATATTAATATTTTTATTCATCTATTTAACATACCTTAGACGGTTTTAAAAACTCTCTCTTTTGTAATTTTTAAGAATTAAAAAAAAATGTGAATTTCTTAAAACCCTTTTTAATGTAGGCCAGTCAGTTCTAATATAGTGTGTGATAAAAGAGGTCACTTTTGTTTACATACACATAACACTTTATAACACTGAAATAATTCATTTATTTTTTACAATTATTCAAAGTAATTTTTCAATTAATCTTGAGCACGCCCATGGAGTGGTCGGAGGTACCAGTTAACATTATGCTAATTACTCTCTCGTTCATAAAAATAAACTATAAGAATAAGAAAAGATAGTTAGTAACTTTTTGAGATAAATCGAACTTTTAAATCTGATTTCCTTAGTTTGGGAAAAAGTATTAGTATACAACTAGTGTAAAACTGCTGTGTTACCTAATTTTTAATTATAATTTGCTCTGTTCTATTTACAACTAATACGTTATTGGAAACTATTAAGTTTATTGTTCAAAAAATCCATTCATGGTATTTAATTCAGTAATATTCACTAATACACTTTCGACAAAGAACAAGTACAAGATAGCGAATCTTCACATATAGCGTAACCCGATAACAAACAATTAAGGTCATGCCACGTTATTCCACGTTGTTTATCTAATCTAATAACAATGCAGTTTTCAAAATTTGGCACAAAAATTCCTAGTGGCTCGCCGAAACCCCAATTAAAATATTTGACGTCTTTGCCTGTTGACAACCACATCCATTTGCCTCCCTGGAGCGTATTTGTCGCTGAGGTCCAGAATTGTACAGAATATGGGGAAGAAAGTCCTAAAACAAAGCTAGAGATAATATGAGTTGCTATTATTTAAATTTTATCTAAACATAATATAATAATATAAATGCTTTTAATTTCTATATTTCTAATAACTAGCTTCTTGTTCTCGCTTTCAAAAATCACAGATTCAAATCAAAAATCCAGCGTGTAAAAACCTACTCAGGCATGGACGTAGGGTCGTCAGATTACAATCCAGCCGTTAATAATCTTAGACAAAAACTAAAAACTATTGGTTGAAGCAAAGCAAAAAAGTACAATATTGAAATACCTCGAAACGCAGCTAGTAAAGAAAAAGTAGCAGCCAAACTTAATGAAGACTTTTTTTTTATTTTTAAATACATATTTACAATCTACTCATCAACAGTACATTAAGTAATTTGTAAATGTGATGACAATATTGACTTGATTTGGGTACCGTTCATCGACAGTTCTCCTCCTTTTCTTCATCTATGTAACCAGGTCTTCTGGCCAACTCCTGTTCAATCTTCGTTCCTCCATTGGTGGCTGATATAATTCACTGATAATTTGGCTGTGGTGCGTTGAATTACGAATTTTGGCCTTGTTGCTTTGAAGTGATATGACGGTTGGTATTCTTTTATGGTTAGTACTCTTAGATCATTGTGGATGGTTGCATTGTTCACATACCAAAGAGCGTTAGCTATCAGACGCAATGTTTTTGATTGGAAGGTCTGCAGAATTTCTCCAATTCATTTGTTTTAATTTTATATTAAGCTTTTTTGGCGTTCATGTGTTGCTTCCAGGTGAGCTTTCGGTCCAAATGCAACCCAAGATATTTCACAATGTCTTTAGCAGAATTGGGAGCATCGTTTAGTCTAAGTTGTGGACCAGTACGACTTCTTGTTGTAAATGTGATTTAGACTGATTTTTTGTTATTGACTTTAATTTTCTATTTTGTCAACCAATTCTCTAATACGTGTAAGTAATTTTGCAATCGAAGAGTGCGACAGATGATATGACTACCACATAATCAAAGAAGAATCACAAAAAGATCAAAGAATTAACAACTAAAAAGAAAACCAATAATCCCCACCCGACACTAATAGACGCAGACGGTAACCTTATATCAGACGACTTGAAGCTCATTGACACATGGAAAGATTACGTAGAACGACTTTTAACGATAAACGCAGAACGACAGTGGACCAAGATGACGACATGACTGGACCCGAAATACTAAGGTCTGAAGTGGAAAAAGCCATTTCATCGCTAAAAAACGACAAAACACCAGGTCACGACAACATACAAGGCAAGATCATAAAACTCCTATGCGAAACGGATGACCACTTCCTCGATTTTCTGACAGGCCTTTTTAACACCTTTTACGACAAAGGGGAGATTCCGGAGGAATGGCTTCGATCAACCTTTGTAGCCATACCTAAAACACCAAGTGCAAAACACTGTGATCAACACTGCTTAATAAGCTTGATAAATCACATTACCAAAGTTTTCACCAAAATCATACACAGTAGAATATATAACAAATGAGAAGCAAATATATCGGAGTCACAGTACGGATTCCGAAGCGCATTGGGCACAAGAGAGGCGATCTTCAGTCTGCAAGTTTTAATTCAAAGATGCAGAGACATGCACAAGGACGTTCACTTGTGCTTCATCGACTTCTCCAAGGCGTTTGACAAGGTCAAACATGATAAACTCATGGAAATGCTCAGGAAGATGCATATTGATGGCAAGGATCTGCGCATAATAACCAGTCTCTATTGGAACCAAAGTGCTGAGATAAAGATGGGCAACTTACACAGTGGGAAAATAGATATTAAAAAGGGTGTACGACAGGGATGCGTCCTCTCGCCGCTCCTGTTCAATATATACTCTAAACAAATCTTCAGAGAAGCACTGGGAGAAGTTTCGGAGGGTATCAAAGTAAACGGAGAGGTAATCAATAATATTAGATATGCTGACGACACAGTTATTATCGCAAATGACTGCAACGAGCTTCAAAGACTCATGCAAAGCATACACACAGCAAGTCAAGAATATGGTTTAGAACTCAATACAACCAAAACTAAATGCATGCTCATCAGCAGAACACAACAACCTCCGATACAATTGACATTAAACAACCGAAAAATAGAACAAGTGGAGACATACACATACCTTGCAACCACAGTCAACACAAAATGGGACCAGTTAACAGGAATAAGATCACGAATTGAAAAAGCGCGAAACACGTTCAACAATATGAAAAAGTGGTTCACAAGCAAAATCTCAATGGAACTAAAATTAAGACTGGTCAAGTGTTATGTCTTCCCGGCCTTGTTCTATGGAGCAGAGGCATGGACCACAACGGAAGCCACCTTGAAGAAACTAGAATCCTTTGAGCTGTGGATATATCGCCGTATTCTTCGGATATCCCGGACAGACCACATCACTAACGTGGAAGTAATGCAGAGAATAGGCAAAAGCAAAGAAATAATCTTTACCGTAAAGAAACGGAAGCTTGAGTACTTTGGACATGTCATGAGGCATACTAAGTACCGGCTCCTACAGTTAATAGTTAAAGGAAGAATCGACAGTAGGAGGGGACCAGGAAGAAGACGACACTCATGGATGCATAACCTGCGACAATGGTTCGGACTAACATCGACCGAACTGTTCAGAGGTGCCGTAAACAAAGTCAAAATAGCCTTGTTAATAGCCAACGTCCCAAAACGGATAGGGCAATGGAAGAAGAAGAAGAATTTTGCAGCTTTTTAGATGCTATGTTTGGGTCTTTGTTTGAAACTAAACGGCTGTATCATTGGCAAAAGTCGCCTCTATGATGTCTGTATCTGTAATAGGTATATCAGCAGTAAATATTAGGTACAGAAAGGAACTGAGAACAGTTCCCTGAGTAACTCCGGATTGGATTGAGTAAAAGGTTGAGAAATCACTATTGATTTTTACTTGGAACAAACGTTTATTAATTTAGGACTTCAGGATAAAATACATAGCGCTAGGCAGTAAAATTTTTAATTTATATAGCAAACCGTTGTGCCAAACTTTATCAAAAACCTGCTGAATATCGAGAAACACTCAGGCACACATAGTCTTTTCATCAACATTTTTTTTTTATTTCATTTACTATTATATGACACTGTTTAATTGTTAAATATTTTTGACGAAAACCAAACCAATTTTGGGTATTATATTCTCGAGTGGTACAATTTCGCTTATTCTGTTTAGCAGGAGTATTTAAAATATCTTGGACATAGGGTAACAAGCTTATCAGACGATAGGAAGAAGGTTCTGTAGGCATTTTTATAATATGAGGCAATCATTATAACATGAGCATATTTCCACCGGATTGGAAAATGACCCAACTGCAGCAATCTATTGCAGATAATAGTAAACATGAGAACTGCCTTCCCGGGTAAATGTTTTAGGATTCTTCCATCAATTTAATCATATCCTGGAGCTTTGTGAGAGTTGGTACTAATTATTATTCTGTAAACCTCGAATTGGGAGAATGCTTTTATTAAAGGTGTTAGTTGACAAAGTGCATCTAGATATTCGCTAACTACATCATCATTTATGTTTTGACCTAAATTTGGAGTAAAAAATTTTCTAAATATTCTGCAAATACATAAGCTTTTTCATTGTTAGTCTGCACCCAATTTCTATCAGGTTTTCTTATTGGAGGAATTCTAATAGTGTCGGTTTTTTAAATTTTTTAGTTGCTCTTCATATAGAGTGGTCACCGGGAGAGAGATTCTTGATATAAAAATTGAAGATGTCATTACGGGTTTGATTCAGTGCTGATGTTAGCTGGTGTGTTAGTCTTTGCCATTTTGCAAAGAATTTGTTTTTGAATTTTCGGTTAGAATTTATTTAATATGAAATGTCACATCGTTGTCTTTAGGATAACCCTCTTTACTTATAGGAGAAGATTCCCAAGCAGCGTTTTGTATTACAGCAGTTAGTTGTTGTACTGCGAATTTCAGCTCATCAGATTCTTTTATTCGGTGATCTAATATTATATTCCGTTTAATGGTGTTTTCAAATTGTTCTCAGTTTGTTTCTTTATTAGATAGTCATAATGAATATTGATTATATTGATTGTGTAATAAAGACCTGAAAAAGCAACCATAACAGGTGATAGAGATATACGAAATACATGGTAGGCCATAAAAATACTATAATTGGTGTACAAAGGGAAGAATTTAAGAATACGAAAAGTAAGAAACGGAAAAAATGGATGACGGAAGACATTTTGGAACTTTTGGAAGAGAGAAAGAACAAAAAATAAAAATAGAAAACATAAAAATAAATAAAAAAAAACCGCATACAATAATAAGAAATATAATTTACACATTCGTAAATCGTAAAATCCTTCGCAAGTGACATTTTTGAATTGCAAGTCTTTCAAGTGGGGAATGGAAAGACCCCTAATCATAAACATAGAGTTAACATATGCGATAAATCTGCAAAGAATGGGAAAGCTTGTTCCAGATAAAATAGAAATCGATGTAATAACTAAAAAATGATAATAACATAACATAGTAACTACCAAAATAATTCATATACTTGATAGTTCATGTAGTCTATGAACAAATAATTGTTTTAGTTTAGATTCCTATTTCCATTTCATTCCCATTGATATTTACCACTAATAATTTAACTTACCTTTTTCGATTAAATATTGTTTAATCCTGTCGTTTTCTGCTTCCGTTTCAATGCTTACTAAGTCCATGTTGCGTGACTTACAAAATTGATATGCAGCAAAAAAGTTTCCCTAAAAATGGTTTTTAAATATTACTACATATACGGTTAGTTAGGTTAAGTTAGGTAAATAAGTTTATCTTAATTTAACATAATATTAGTACATTCTATTCGGGTTTTATAGGCCATTCTCCAGATGTATTTATTTTTCTAATGTTTTGTCTGAAAAGGTGACAGACTTAATAAAGGCAATGCGAAGTGGTTATAGGCGTAATCTTCTAGTCACTGCTACGATCGATCACTTATAAGACGGCTATCGCCGTATTCCCGTTCTCCTTCGCCAATCCACCCGGTCCAAGGCATGCTCCTCCTCCAAACCTTTCGATTCCATCTCTCTTCTAATTCCTTCATTCCATAAGCGTCGAGGTCTACTTCTTTTCCTTTCTCTAGGGGGTTTCCATCTGTAAGGTTTTTGGGCCCAATTTCGTCAGGCATTCTCAATAGGTGTCCAAACTATTTTAAACCTCTTTTTTCTATTCTGTCAATGACCGTTTCTGTAGCATTCATGTTATTTTTTATATATTGGTTGGTTGGTTGGTCTTCCTTTCCAGCCTTGATGTTCTAGCACTTCTTCTCAAATAATCCATTTCAACTGCCATCAATCTTCTTTTTAGATCTGCATTATTTGTTCATACTTTAAAACCGTAACAAAGAACTGATTCAACGATGGTTTGCCTATTTTTTTTTTTATTTACTTTGGAAATGTTGCGATTCCACCATAAGGAGTTTAGACATCCTTCAATTGTACGTCCTTGATTAATTTAGTGTTTAATTTCGGTTTCTGCCAAGCCGTCTTTATCAATGAGTGTACCTAAATATTTAAATTTTTTCACTTGTTTGATTTCCACGTCCTCGTCTATCAACACTTCAAACCTTGCATCTGAATTGGTAACTTAATATTCTGTTTTCTTCATGCTGAATTGTAACCCACATTTTACATATTCTCTTTATATACGCTTTATTATAAATTCTAGATCATTACAATTTTATAAACTGGACGCTTTTAAAATGTGGATATACCGCCGCATGTTGAGAATATCCTGGATTGATTATCGCACTAACGTATCGGTATTAGAACAACTTAAAGTAAAGGATAGATTGCTTAAACAAATACAACAGAAATATTTGCAGTATTTTGGACACATTGCTAGAAGAACAGATATGATGGAAAAACTGATAGTCGAGGGTAAAGTTGAAGGAAAGAGACCCAGGGGAAGATCTCCAAGCCGTTGGGCAGATCAAACAAAAATATTGATTAATCAAGGGTTACGTGAAGCCGAATTACTAGCCCAGCATAGAGAAGGATGGAGGAAAATCGTAAAAAAACTGTAAAGGCCTGGTGGTGTCACCACATCCCAAAAGGGATTAGGACTGAGGAGCAGAATCTTGAGCTAGGACGACTTGGTCATCCGCAAAGTTCAGGGAGAACAGTACGTCATTTCCTATGGGGATTCATATTCCCTGGCAGTGGTTTTTCCAATTTTGGAGGGCTGTCTCAATATATAAATCACATTAAATAACAGTAAGGGTGACATACTATATCCTTATTTTAGTCCTTTAATTACTTTTATTGGCTCTGATAGTCTATTTTCGATTTTAAGGTGAGTAGTGTTATCCCTGTGTAGTTTTGTGATTATTCCTAAAATGTATTGACTAATGCCGAGTTGTTGTAAAGCTTGCCACAATTTAAGTCTTGGAACTGTATCAAATGCCTTTTGTAGGTCGATGAAGGCTAGATTTAAGTTGGTACCAACCGCTATTCTTTTTTATATTAATTGTTGGAGTATAAACAAGATATCAGTGCAAGATCTACCAGGCGTAAATCCACTTTGGTCTTCGCTAATTAGATGTCCTACATAATCTTGTATTTTTCCATTTATTATCTTTCCAAACAATCTCCTGAAAGTAGGCAGGACACTAAATCCTCTGTAACAGTTAGGATCTTTTCGATTACCCTTTTTAAAGATAAACACTTGGTGAGCGTTTTCCATGCAGATGGTAATTTAATTTGTTGGTAGCATTGATTAATTAGAAAAGTTATTCGTTCTATAAGGAGTGGACCTTCTGCTTTAAGTAACTCTACAGCCATATTGCCAGGTCCTGGAGATTGCCCGTTTTTCATTTAAATTAACGCAGTACGGACCTCGTTGTTAGTAGTAGTAATGGTACTATTTGTTTGTCTCTCCATACTTATTTCTCTCCCATATATTCCAATTTGGACCTGGAGTATTTATAATTTATTTATTTATTTTATAATTTTTTACCCATGTCTCTTTAAACACCTTCATCAACATCTGTTTTGCTTTGCAATTTTTAGAAAGCACAGATTAAAGCAGAAATCTGAATTGTGTTTCGAAACTATTTTACGGATTTATTATCAGATGTCGCTATTGCGTCCATATCGAAGCCATTTTAGTGTTGCTTCTTAAACGACAGAAAATATTGATCTTTCACGTTAAGAACACCTATGAGTAACTGTTCTGATGAGACCTATTAGGTCGAAATACGTATCAACAGATACATAGGCGCTGTTTGCGTGAAATCAAATATTTGCTGTCTTTTTCATTTTATTCGGATCTACTCTGTACGAGTACAAGAAAACAATTCGCTAAGGATTTCTGCTTAGTTGAAAAGACATGTCGTGGAATGCAAATTTTAGATTCCCCATGTCTCTTTTAACACCTTCATCAACGTCTGTTTTGCTTTGCAATTTTTAGAAAGCACAGATTAAAGCAGAAATCTGAATTGTGTTTCGAAACTATTTTACGGATTTACTATTGCCTTTGTTTAATGAATAGTAAATTCTTCCATTCTTTAAATTGCCTTTTCATACATTTTCAGGTACGGTTAGATTAGTTATGTATAGTTGATCATGCTGTTAATGAAAAGAGTTCTGAACAAATAGAAACGAGAATTTTTTGTGATAAGTCCATGTGATCAATGTGTAAGTTTTAAGATCAATCAAGTAAAATGGAGAAAGAAAAAAATATATACAAATAGATGACAAATATTTGCTACACATTACTATACAAAGTAGTGAAGTAGTTTATTATAATTAAACTTTAAAACTAAAAAAAAATAACTACTACTATTATGTTTTAAATGTCTCTACATAATTTCGATTTATAATACTCCAATCAAGATAATTAACCGAAAGACTGATGAACAACACCGATAATTTCCAGACGTTTCCATATTATCTACTAAAACGAGATAACGATCAACTAGATGATAAGCAAAAGAGTGGCTTCTGGCTGTTCACATGAATCTTTGATTGGAGGTAATCGCCGCTGGCATAATTTCGACAAGTTTTATTGAGTAGTTATATATGTTATGCATATGTGGGCAATTAAATCATTTGCATGCATGTCGGTAATAATTATCAATCGTCTAAAGGTAATTGTATCCGCTGGTTTGCGAGGAAGTCTGTGGTTAGTTGGTGTAGATTTTTAAAAATCGATACTAGTGAAACTGAGAAAAGAAAATGTCATTGTACTACAGTTCGTTTTAGCATTCTTACCAGTAACTAAGATGTAACAGCAATAATACAATAGAAAATATAAAAAAAACAAAAACCTTAGAAAAAAGGACAATCTTATACAAAATAAAAGAGTAGAATAGTGGGCAATATTAGAAAAACTGAACGGTCGGCTAAATAAATTAAATTTAAAAATTTGTTATGGTTTTGGCCTTTCATGTTGGTAATTGTTGTTAAAGAATTTTTAGATAAATTCATTAAAAAAACAAAAATTTATTTATGCATTTTAAATTAACTTTGTACCTATAGAGTATCTATAGAGGCATGGCAACAGCATTTTAAAGAGCTATATGATGCTGAAGAAACGCTGAATATAAACGAAGGCGAAACAGATGTGAGTGCTACAATCAATGACGAAGAAGTAGAAGCAAAAATCAAAAAACAGAAAATCACCGGGAACGGATGGTATACCCAATCAACTTTTAAAATATGGAGGCCCGGAACTTGCAAGTTAACAACTATGGCACAACTATTTAACAAAATATTAAACAAAACAGAAACACCAGAGGAATGGCAAAATAGTATCACAATCCCCATATTTAAAAAAGGACAAAAAACCAACAATGAAACTTTTCACGGGTATTCTCAAGGACAAATTGGAAAAGCAAATCACTAATGCTGAAGAACAACAAGGTTTTACAAAAGGGCGGTCTATAACAGACGCAGTATTTATAATAAAACAAATAAAAGAAAAAGCTATGGAGTTCGGCATGCCAGCGTATATTTGCTTCATTGATTTGACGAAGGCATTTGACAGAGTTCGCCTGGGAGACATTCTAAATATATTAATAGAAAATGAAACACCGACCAGTATAACAAAGATACTCCATAACCTAAATAACAACAACGTAACCAAAGTTAGAGCAGGAGACGAATTCACTTAAAATATTCCAACACCGGGAGGAATTAGACAAGGCGACAGTTTAAGCCCCTTCTTGTTTAATCTTCTCATGGGCAAAATTATCAACAAAGTAACATCTCTTAATCTCGGATATAGAATGGGCAACAAAAGAATTGGTATGGTGTGTTACGCAGACGATGCAGCAATTATTGCCGGATCAGAAGATGATCTCAAAAGGCAGCTTTTTCAGTTCTTTCAAACAAGCCGACTACTAAATATGAACATCTCTACCAACAAAACTAAATGTATGACAATAGCAAAAGATCCGCTCAGATATAAGTTAGTGGTTGAGGACAACCCCATAGAACAGGTGATGCAATTCAGATATCTGGGCATAGATATATCAAGCACCCACGACCCAGTCAAGGACCTGAGGAGTCAGATCAACAAAGCATCTGCACTGTCAGGATGTCTGCGGGAGATAGTTTGGTCAAATCCGTATATGCGCACAGATAGTAAAATTAGAATCTATAAGACTTACATACGACCGATCATGACATATGGCATAGAAGTGCGCGAAGATACCAACAAAACGAAACAGATGCTAAGGGTTGCCGAAATGAAAACCCTAAGA